TGATCCCTCCTGATGATGCGTCCGAAGCAAACATGTCAGACCATGTTCTCTTGTGATCCATAAGGTTTTCATTGGCTAATTTTTAAAAGTAGATCACCAGGCCTTTCTTTCTAATCTGTCTCAGTCTGGAAGCTCCACTGAAACCCGCCCACCATGGCTGACCCTCCTGGTATTTGAAATACCGGTGGCATAGCTTCCAGCACCATAGCAAGACCCAGGCCACCACAGTATGACAAACTGACAGAGGAGTGATGGCCCCAGTTCCCTAGCCTTGATAAAAGGCTTAGAAACTTTTATCTTTTTTTTATAATCACAGCTACTGAATTTTTTCTGTAATTTTTTCCCATTGTATTTAACTTTCGAAAGTCTTTGTCAAAACAAATAGCAATCATTACAGAAATCCTAGACAGCATCTGTGCCTTACTGGTGGGTGTACGAGAACCATTGTTCCAACAAAAAGACTGACCTAAACTAGCAAGAGAAATAGGCGTCTGGAGATCTTCCTCGAGTTTGGGAACATATGAAAGAATGAAATCAGCATCTGACTGGCAGTGGAGTCAGTATTTGCACAGCTTTGTGTAATTTGTGAGTCTACCTGTTATCTTGGTTCAAAATAATCTCCCCTATTTCTGATTCTAATAGCAGTAACCCACAGCTGGGCCTTAGAAGTATTTCTCTAAGGGGCCGTTCACTTTTCTCTGTAGAAGAGTTGATAGGTTATCCTGTTGGACAGTTTCCACATGTGTGCAAGTCAATATAATTATGTTGGTTAGAGGGGCTTTGTTAATATCTTTCTGAGTTCGTTGATTCTGATAATAATCTTGTCTTGCCCATGACATCTTACCCATCTTCCTTTCATCCTGGGAGCACAACTTTTTCACAAAGTGTTTTGTCACTTTATAGTGAAAGATGACTGTAGCATCTTCATTCTATAAATGTAGAAACTGAGAGTTACAAGTTTAATGCCTTACCAGACATCTCAGTTACAGGACGTTGCCTACCTACCAGATTTCCTTCCTCCCAGATGAGGACTTTCTCCCCTAAACCACACTGCCTTCCTTGAAACTGTATATAATATTGGGTCAAGTCCTTTTCTTGCATCCATGTAACAGCCGTGATGAGATCTGCTCCAAAGACCAGTTGCTACCTGATCATTAAGAGATTCACTCAGTAGTATTGTCCAGGCCATTGTATTCTTAAAGCACTCAGGATAAATATGTATAGAATTTGTCATTAGAGTTGAGCATGCCTGGGGGCTGACAATCTCTGCATAAAACTCAAAATCTTTTTCTGCTGCTCTTGGGCAGTATATTTTCCAAGTCTTCTCTTGTGAGCTAAAAAGTAAGAAAGTTAAATCCATGAGTTGAACTGCTCTTTGGGTGACTGCATCATACCTGTCTTTAAATTCTTCCTGTACAGGTAAATGTGCTTGAGAATGGGAAATAGTCTGAAAGTCTAGAAGTCATTCTCTGCATCTTATATCCACAGTGGGGCACATGGCTAAGCACTCTACTACTGGCCTAAAGGTTGGCAGTTTGAACCCTCTCAGAGGTGCCTTGGAAGATAGGCCTGGCAATCTGCTTCCGAAAGGTCACAACCTTGAAAACCGTATGGAGCAGTTCTACTCTGCACACATGGGGTCGCATGAGTCTGAATCAATTCGATGGCAACTAATCCACAGGTGTAAGGAAGTTAAGTGAAAACATAAATTTGCATGCTTATATGCTCAGTATTTTTCAAGCGGATAGATAAGAACAGAGATATATATTTTTTACTAGCTTTAATCTTACTAATTTTTTTTCTTAAGTTTGAAAATCTTTTGAAGAAAATGTCTAAGACTTTCTGTATCTTATATTTTACCATTCTTTTAATTCTTTGATTTGGGCTTACAGTCAGAACAACCTACTATAGACCACAAAATAGTTGCCATTAATTTAGACCTGTCCATGGTTGAAGCTTGGCTACTCCTCTTAACTCTTTGGTATTTGCAGCATATCCTACATGAGAATTCTGACTCACCAAAAGCAAAACCAACCAACCAATCAGTAGCAAAGAGACTTCTGGAGAAACTCTTTTGGAATTGTGATTAAACAAACAAACAAAACCCAAACCCATTGCCATTAAGTCATTCCGACTCATAGTGACCCTAGAAGACAGAGCAGAACTGCCCCATAGGATTTCCAAGGCTTTAAATCCTTACAGAAACAAACTACCACATCTTCCTCCTACAGAGCAGCTGGTGGGTTCAAACAGCCAACATTTCGGTTAGCAGTCGAGCACTTTAACCGCTGTGCCACCAGGGCTCCTTGTAGAAATTGTAAAATATCTCTAGTTGGAACTGATACCGTATAACTTACTGCCAAAGAAATAATCCTACAATTTGAAAAATTATTTTATATAAATAAATTTTCAGAGTATTTGGCCACGTTACAAACTGTTTTATGAAAATATTGAGTAACTTGCCTATTACACAATATTATGTCAACCAGAAAACCCAAAGACCATTTAATATTGACAATTACATCAGAATCACATGTTAGATAAATGACACCAAATTGACCCTCTCTGAGAATGAGAGTTTCCAGTCATTTAGCATAGATTTGCTGTGAGTGAAAACTAGTATACATTTAACTTTCAATTCCATAATTTACATGAAGAATTGAAATTGTGCATGTGGAAAGCTTTCTTTAAATTACATATGCTCCATATATTTTAGCAGAGATATTTTAAAATTTAGTAATGTTAGCATTATTTTTCCATTCACTTAATTTCAATTTGCTTTTAAATTCCAAGCTTTAAATAAATTAAATGTAAACCCAATGAATTTTTAAAAGATAGTGAGCAGTGATTTTTTTGAACTAATTTAGAACTAAGAAAAACATGTTCATAAAACTTTATAATTGAAACTTCTTTTTAAATATGCCATTTTGTGTTAAGTATTTCATCACTCTGCCCTTATTAGGTGTGTCTCATCACTAAATATAATGTTTCTAAAGAGTTGTAACTTTACAGCTGCTTTGATTAATGATGGCTTGGACTAAGATTTCATTGGGTAGGATTAACTAGGTTTAAAGATGGCAAAATGCCATTATAACATTAATGCCAAAATTTAATGAGAACCAGAAGTTAACTTCAAGGACCCTTATAACTCAATATGGGGGCATGATCATGTTCACATTATATTAATGTCATGTCTTATTAAAAATAAGTTACTCTTTTTTATCTTTTTTTTTTGTGGTAAAGATTTTTACTCAGCAAACATTTATTGAATATGGACCATGTGCCAACCACTGTGCTACGGTTGTGAGGAGTGAGATTTTCCATCCTCAGACAAGTCGGACCTTTTCTGATCAGTAAGAGCAGAAATGAGAAACACCTCTCTTATTTAGAAATCTTATGGCCTACCTCACTCTCATTTCCCCAAGGCACCTATCTCCAGCTAACCTCTCGTCTGTTTTTTATTTCTTGTATCAGCCACCTTCTCCATTGCTTGGATTGAAAAGCTGGCCAGCTGTGCCCCTATAATGAAAGGAGCTGGGATATTGAGTTTGCAGGTGTGGGAAGGATGGAGGACATGGGTTAGAACTTAATGTTCTATTTGTGGTACTGATTGCTGCGGTGTCTAGTAGCTATACCTCACAGGCATAGCTACTAAAGTTTTCTAGAACTACATGATAAAATCAGAAGTAGTACAAGTAGGAGAGGAAGAACTGCTGACAGTAGGATTCTTTCCAGTCTTCTGAGGAAGACTCATCCTATACTGAAGGTTGATGGTGGTGACTTGCCTTCTCTAAAATTCAGGTACCTTTAAAGCCCTTCCCAGTTCTAAAATTCTATGACGTATATATGTTTTGGAGCCCTGGTGGCGCAGTGGTTAAGAGATTGGCTGCTGACCAAAAGGTCGGCAGTTCAAATCCACCAGCCGCTCCTTGGAAACCCTATGGAGCAGTTCTACTCTCTCCTATAGGGTCACTATGAGTCAGAATCAACTCAACAGCAACGGGTTTGGATCCCCCCTCCCCAATATGTTTGGAATCTAAAGAGAACAGTCGGCCTAAAACAGATGACTTAGGTTCCTTATTATTTTTTTCTCAAAATCTTACGTATACATACTTGGGAAGATCATTGAGGACTTACGAAGTAAGACTATAAACCATCACCATAAGAAGTCAGAGGTAAAAATCAGCAGAGGCGAAGGGAAAACTGCATCCCAAAACTCCTAGTGGAGAAAAACCTCCACTATCTAGCTTATGATTCTGGGCTTCCCAGTGGCTATAGCAAAGAGGAGAAACAAGATAACTTGGTATGATTGTTTAGCAAAACACATGCTACCAGTTCATCAGAACAAGCAAGCATTTTTCTTGCTCGCAGTTAATAAGAACGATTTGTGCGGGGGATTTGTGTAAGAAGCCATAAGCCACATAATGAATCAAGTCCTCATGAATTTTCATAGGAAATAAAGAAGTATTCCACATATGTCATTTCATATATTGGCCTTTGGAGAACACTGAGGGAACAATGTTAAAAGCAAGACTTTTTTTCTACCATGAGGCAGGGAGAGGGGAGTTTGAAACTTCTGGTATATTTACTGCAGATAGATGGCTTATTTTCTTTTGACTCACTGACATGTGGAGCAGTAGAAAGGTGTAAAGATGTCTAGTAAAGGGTAGCGTTGTTAAAAGTAGGACGGGATAAATGGAATTTTTGTGGCAGGATGATATTTGCAAGACTGATCAGGCTGCTGGGAAGTTTTTAAATATGCCAGTTCCCTGTAACAGGAAGATCAGTCTCTATTTTAAACAGCATATCCAATTTAGAAAATTATTATTATTCCGTCAAAATTAATGTGAACGATTTTCTCTTTGAGGCTGCTTTTTCCATAGGTGATGTTTTCCAGATGGGCTTTGTGTAAAACTCTCCATGTTTCGTGTTTTCTTTCACAGAAAAAGAGCCTGTTCTGACATCTCTTCATTTCTTTCTCCCTTTGCCACCCGTTGCAGGAAAGAGAACACCAAAAGCAAAGGAGAAGAGGAACAAGAAGAAGAAGAGGAAGCTGATAGAAAGAGTCCAGGAGCAACACAGTGTCTTCCTAGCTACAGACAGAGCTAACCAGTAAAATAAGAGACCCTCTTGATGGAATTGGGGAGGGGGGATTGTTTTTGCAAAAGTGCACAAAGCTACTTTCCACTCCTGCACACTGGTGTGTACAGCATTTGTGCTGCTTCACCCAGTCTTTGTTCCCAGTGACATTGTGAAAGGAAGAGCCACTAGCGTGGTCTCTGTGTTATTTATACGTTGATTTGGATCTGGAGACCATGGAGGCAGGAGCTGGTTGACCTGAGTCAGTGGAATCACACATCAGTGCACAGCATGTGACTTGGTTCTGTGTCTGCTGAGAGAATGTGTCCCTGGCAGCTGTGGAGAGGCAAGAGGTGTGAGACTGTAGATGACCCTTGGCGAATGGACTTGTCCATATTTATGCGAAAGAAGATGCTTGGCCGACAAAGCGCTATTTCACTTGTGACCTTCATTTCTCACATTGTGCATTTGCAAGGATAAATGTATGTGGATCTCTGCTTAGTGTTACCACATATTGTTCTCAGCATCTGTTACCTTCAAACCGTTGTGCGATGAAACTGCTTTTAGCTGGTGATAGGCTGCAGCAATCTCTGCTCAGTTTCACAGCAGCTCTCATATGTACATACTCTGCTGGGGCTACATGTAAACCTCTTGTTTACTGTATATTTATGCTTTCTTATGTATAACAAGTCATATCTGGTCAATATTATATCACTTTGTTTCTAGTGGTGCCTAACCATCATTCAGTAAATAACTGTTCTAGTTTTATTAATTGAGAAATGTTTTGTTGCCCCTTGAACCTTTTTGCTTTTTGGGGGGATGGGTTTCTTTCTTATTGTAAGGATAGGATAAGCTAGTTTGTATATATAGTCAAATGACCAGTGTCAAAGAGTTTGAATATCTGAAGACCTTCCCTACTCTCCATCTTCCCCCACAGATAAGGCAGCATGTGGCAACCGCCAGCCACAAGCCCAAACTCCCTTTGAATCTAAGATGTGATGACTTTATGAAATACCGCTGAAATGTTGTGAGGCTTACACGCAGTAACTTGTAGTACTCATCATGCAATTTCACTGGTCCCCTGGAGAATTTTTCTGGCTTTATTTTTATTTCTGACTTTCATTCTTTTTTTTTTTTTAAATTTATAAACAGTCCCTGACTTGCAAGGATAGGGTATCTATCAATATTCTTGCATCACTGTAGAAGTTACCATCATGAGACCGTGCATAGAAGTTGAGGAGCAAACAAGTCAAATTCCTACAACTCCTTGTCAGATCTTAACAGGTCTTTATTGAGTCAGAATCTATATCATATCCAAGACTGAGACAGAGACAATATGGAGGCTTCCCAGGTGACTCTGACAGCAGTTGTTTGAAAAACTTTGTTCACTTGGGGAAAAAGGTTCTTAAGAGGATTGTGAATTGGCTTCTTACTTTGGAAAGAATCATTATCTTCCTATATCATCCAAGAAAAAATTAGAATGAAAAGGAAATGGTTGCAGATTTTGAGGAAAAAAACCAAACCAAGGTAAAGCCTTTTTCTCACCTTGCACTGGAAAAACTACCTCTTCAGCATTTCTGTTAACTTTTGAGTCAAAAGCATCTAACCAATAAGTATAAATGTCATATACATCGGTATGAAATATTATTGCTATGAGATAATAAGCCATATATGAATGTTGTATACAACTTTAGGGTTTGCACTTAGTCCTAAAGTGTTCACCTCCTTTCATGTCTGTTTACACTATATTCCTGTTACTAAGGGGGGAGGGGTCTCCTTTGTATAGTGCTTCATCGCTAATAAGTCAAGACCTGTTCTGTTTCTGGGATGTTCTTTTTGTGCATTAAAAACACTTCAAGATTATTTTTTGTGGAAATTTTCTTTTCTTTAGAGAGAAATTTAGAAAATAAGGCAATGCCTTAGATTTTACTTTTAAACTAAAATAGTTTAATGTTGGGAAGTAGATGTGAAATAAGACTTTTGGGAGTCTATTAATAAAAATATTTTTTTTGTCAACTCTGCTTCCAAATAATGGGCCTTTAAAAAAAAAGCAAGCAAAGAAAAATGTAAAAAACCTATGTCAATAACTACATCTACAACACTTATTATTTTCTCTCTAAATTACACTATATTAATAGTGGGGATTTTAGAGCCAGATTGTGTGGGTTCAAATCCAGACTGAGAGTGGCCTGGAGAAAATTATTTACTTGTTTCAAACCTCAGTTTCCTCATCTGTGAAATGTGACTAGCAATATTATCTATGCCGTAGGGTTGTGTTTTAAGGATTAAATTAGGTAAAATGTGTAAAGTCCAGTTATCAAAGCATGGAGCATTCTAAATCCTACATAAGTTGTTACCTGTTGTTCTTATTAATTACCTATTTCCTTGGATATGCAAATTTTTTCAAAAAATACTCATTTCTTCTCATCAACAAAATAGAATATATTTGTGAAAGTGTACATTCTTTTCAATCTGTTACTTGATGCCCAGACATATTTGACCAAACTTTGATTCTTTTTTAAAATTATTCCTCACATGAGTATTTTCTCTCTTCTTTTAAAATTGTGCTTTAGATGAAGGTTTACAGAGCAAATTAGTTCCTCATTAAACAGTTGATACACATAATGTTTTGTGACATTGGCTGCCAACCTTGTGACATGTCAACACTCTCCCCTTCTCGACCTTGAGTTCTGTATTTCCATTCGTCCAGCTTTCCTGTCCCCTCCTGCCTTCTCGTCCTTGCCCCTGGGCTGGTGTGCACATTTTAGTCTCATACGCATGGTTGAACTATGTATATTATTTTGCTGAAGGGTGAACCTCAGGAGTGACTTCAGTACTGAGTTAAAAGTGTCCGAGGGCCGTACTCTCAGAGTTTCTCCAGTCTCTGTCAGACCAGTAAGTCTGTTCTTTTTAGTGAGTTTGAATTTTGTTCTACATTTTTATCTAGCTCTGTCTAGGACCCTCTATTGTGATCCCTGTCAGAGCAGTCAGTGGTTGTAGCCAGGCACCATCTAGTTGTGCAAACTTTTATTCTTAAGGGAATTGATTTCATTTCTGAGTCTCTTTATCCTAGGCTACACACACACACACACACACACAAATAGTATAATTTTATGGCTTTAAAGTTTGGGGACAATCGTGGTTTTCAACAACCGACCGTACCATTCCCATACTTCATACAGTGTACAAATAGAATATATGAAAACTGATTTTCTTCGCTATATTTTCAGGCAGGTTAGCCTTTGTAACAGTAAAAGGTGGGGCTACTAGTTTGTCAATTAAGAAGTGTAACAAATGGGCCCTTTGGGAAAGCCAATTTTATGAGTATATTTTTCTTTTTCAAGATCCTGGTATCCATCATCATAACCATGATCTTTCATGTCTTGCTGGAGACATTTGAAGGAACTTAATGCTGAGTGTCAGGTGTGTGACTTGTATGAAGGGGGTGTGAGACTCCTTCTCCAACTTTATTTTTCTTAAGGGGAGCTATAGGCAGGCGAATGAAAGAAAAGTGAATTAATACTTCATTTTAAACCATTTGTGCACTGTGGATACTTACTGGATACTATCATGTTTAAAAATATCGAATGAATAACTCTGTTGTTATTAGTTGCCATCGAGTCTGCTCCCACTCATGGCAACCGCACGTACAACAACATATGAAACGTTGCCTGGTCTTGTGCCATCCTCATGATCATTGGTATGCTCGAGCCCATTTTTGCTGCCACTGTGTATTTTGAGTGCCTTCCAACCTAGGGGCTCATCTTACAGCACCATATCGATAACATTCTGTTGTAATCCACAGGGTTTTCACTGGCTAATTTTTGGAAGTAGATTACCAAGCCTTTCTTCCTACTCTGTCTTAGTCTGGAATCTCTGCTGAAACCTGTCCACCATGGGTGACCCTGCTGGTATTTGAAATACCAGTGGCATAGCTTCCAGCATCAGAGTAATACACAAGCCACCACAGTACGACAAACTGACAGGTGGCAGAATAACTCCATAAATGTTCTGTATCTTGAACATCTTCAATATCCTCCTCCTTCTTTCAAAAGGGATTACTATTCCACTATTCCACTTACTTTTTTGGGATCTTTAGGTATCTACCCCTTTCATTTCTTCAACCTCTCCTTTTCTTCCAACTTATGCTACGCTTTCTTTCCAGGTCTTCGCTGTCCAGCTTCCTGAAAAAGTAGCCTACATTTGTTGACATCTCTGACTTCTCTTATTTTCATCTGTGTCTTAATTCACTGTACTCTTGTTTCTGCCCCACCACTGTATTGTAATTGTCCCAACACAGGAAGCAATGACATTCTCCTTGCTGAGTACAAGGAAAATGTATTATTTGCCTTGACTATTTTATATGTGTCCTCTGTGACATCACCACCATAGTGGACACTGTAGCACTCTCTAGGAATTTTGTTTCTCATTTGGTTCCTGTGATAATCCTAACTTGGATTTTCTACTTCTAGGCTATTTCTTTTCAGTCTTCAAGTTCTTTCTTTGCCTAACTTAAAAATATTGACATTTCAGGGATTAGCCCAGGGTTTAATATTTTTGGTTAAACTCATTCCCTTTGGGAAATCTTGTGATTTCAGATACCACTTGTATGTAATTGACTTCAGTGTATATCTTCGACTCTTATTAAATATCTTGACCAGAGAGTTTCACACTTATCGCAAGCTTAATGTGTCTAAAACTTAATTCATTACTGTATAAGTCAGGGTTCCTTCGAGCAAATAAACCCATCTAGGTATCTCAGACAGTGAATTTAATATGGGACCTTGGTTACTCAAGTGATGGAAGAGACAAGAAGCCAAAAGAGGAATACAAGACAACCCAGAGATCAGCAACAGCAGGATGCCACCATCACTCCAGGGTAAAAGGGATAACAAGATATTTCCAGAGTCCAGAAGTCAAGGTCACCCAGCTACAGCCATAAGTTTAGCTGTGGCTAGAGATACACCCACAGAAGGAGTGTGACCCAAGACAGAAGGCTTCAGTCTTCCACCAGCGTCCTCCGTTGCTCAGACCTAC